GGCGCCAGGCAGAGCAGCAGCGTGGGTCTGTCTGCAGGGGACGGGGCGGAGACCCGCCGCGGGCGCAGGGGCACAGGGCGCTGGCAGGGAGGGCAATGCCAGGGGAAGGGAAGGATCTCACTGGCTCAGCGGTCAGGGCCTGATCCTCCCCTGTGCTGTGGCGTTTGGGGTAGGGGCCGCGGCGGGAGCACCCTGTGCTCCAGCAATTCCTGACCGCAAAGAGCCATCTTTGTGTATGTGGCGGGACCCGGGATCTGGTACGTCAGAGCCTGAGTTTCAGACTTAGGGGCTTGCAAAGGGTGGGGGTGATCCCTGGCCACACACCGGCCTCCTGCCCCTGCAGACGGGATTGCACTCGCTGGCTGGGCTCACAGGTGCCTGCACCTCGCTGGAGCCCCACCGCCCTGAGATCCCACAGGAGCTGTCGCCACCCCCCTGCGGGTGCCGCTACCAGGATCTCCCAGTCAGGGAGGAGCGGGGCTGGGCCGTGGCCCCTGGAACTGCCAGCTGCCGGGGAGCGCGCGGAGCTGGCTGGAGGGCTGGCACAGCTGCCGTGACTGCGGGGAGGGAGAGGTGGTGAGTCACTGACCCGGGTTCAGCGTGTGCCGGAGGGGCTCTCCATGGAGCCGCAAGCTGGGGATCTGGCCCCTAATTTCAGGGAGGGGAGCCCCCCAGGCCAGCCGCCCAGTGCTGGGAGACGGGGTGTGGGGAGCTCCATGCCCCAAGGAGACGTCGCGCAGTTGCAGCAGGTCTCTGCTGCCCGGCTAGCAGCCAGCGGGGTCAGAGAAGGCAGGGCCCAGGCCGCCCGGCAGCAATTACCTCCCCGCTGCGTCCAGCTGTAATCCTGCCGGTGGCACAGCGCCCATATCCAAACAAGGCTCAATCAGGTTAAAGTATGAAGGCAGGATTAGCCCGGAGCCGGAACCGTGTAAGAGCCCTGGCTGGCCTCGCCGGCCTCGCAGCGGGGGCCGGAGATTAACCCTGCCTGCTTTGTCTGCTGGAGTGGGCTTCCTGCCGGGAAGCTGTGTCCTATTGAATAGTGATCCACTAGTGCCGGGCCGGGCAGTGCGCTGGGGGCTGCAGCTTCCCCGCGATGCCTCGACCAAGATCTGCATCCTGGGGCCGCAGGCCAGCAGCCAGGGGATGGGCAGCACCCTCGGCCAGGCAGCCAGGTGCAAAGGGAAGCCGCAGGATACGGCCCAGCTCCGCTCTCGCCAGGGCCAGCGCCTGGAGCTGCATGTGCCAGTGCAGGGCAGGACGTGCTGTCATCCCCCCAGGCAATGCAAGTGGGGAGCCTGTGGATCTGGGCCCACGCGCCTCGCCCACGCTCACATGCACAGAGTCCGGGGCCTTCTCTGAGACACCGGAGCCCCGCAGGACCCCCCAGAGCCCCCTGGAGCAGCCCCTCTGGGGGCCACGGACTGGAGGGGAGGGAGAGCAGGTAACTCTGTGTGCCTGGCGCCGGCGCTGGTGAGACAACCAGGAGGCCGAAGGGACGCTGCCTGGTCACCCCCTGCCCCTGTGCCGTGGGTCTCGGCTGCCCTCGGCAGGGCCAGGGGTGCTGCGTTAAGAAGCGCTGGCTGGCCGGCTAGCGACCCATCCAGGGGAAGGGAGAAGGCTTGGCTGGGAAGCAGGAGCAGCTCGGTGGGGGAGCCAGAGGGGTAAAGGGAAAGCGAGGGGCCCCTGGCAGTCAGAATAGAGGCTGATGGGCGCTAGGCCGTGATGCGGTGCCGCCGTGGGCTGAGTGTGGGATGGGGCGTGTGCACAGTGCAGACGGGAAGCCCCCGGTGTCCCTGCAGGGGTCGCCCCGGGCCGTGGGGCGGGGAATTCGGCCCCCAGATCTGTGACCCGGCCTGGCGCCTAGCGGGGGGGGAGGGGGGGGCAGCACGGCCGGTGCAGCCTCACACGTTGTGGCAAAGCAGCTAGGGGCACACGAGCCGTCCGGGGCCAGGCTGCAGCCCCGCCCTGCCAGAGTCTCGCTGGGAGGTTTCGCTGCCCACCCAGCCAGCGCGGGGGATTAGCCGGATGTTCAGGGCAATGAATTGTCACAGCTCCCTGGTGGCCAGAGCCGGGAGGCCGCTGCTCTCCTTCCCAGCCAGCTGCCGGCCAAGTGCCCTTCAAAGGCGTCTCTGCTAGAACGCAACAGAGGGTCCTGTGGCACCTTTGAGACTAACAGAAGTACTGGGAGCATAAGCTTTCGTGGGTAAGAACCTCACTTCTTCAGATGCAAGAAGTGAGGTTCTTACCCACGAA